GGGGGGGGGGGGAACGGCGCGATCCCCGCCTCGGGGTGAGGCCTGTGCCCCGCGCGGTGCGCACGCTGAGGGCAAGCCGCGGGCTGGATGAGCCCGCTCTTCTCGGGTGTGGGCAGGCCCTCTACCCCCTGCGGCCGCACCGGAGAGCTGAGAGCTGATGCCAGGCCTAGGAGTCCCTGACTAGGCTCTAACTCCGCTTCCCTGGAGGTGGTGTGGTTTGGGGACAGGAGGGAGGGGCTGGGGGCTGCGGGGTGTTCATTTTTCCCTTAGGGGACACTCCTTTTTACATCATATAAATATCCTGGTCTTTGTCAGAATGGTGGGCAGGGGACCCTGCTGGGGGATGCCCAGGAGCAGGGCCTGGCTGTCCCCTGTTCGCAGGCTGGGAGAAGACCTGGGGGGTGTGAGCTCCAGTCTGCAAATGTCTGTGCCGACTCCTCAGTTTGCAGAGCTGAAGACGAAGCTGGAGGCCACAGAGAGATGCCTCAGCGCCCTGGAGAAGGGACAGCCACCGAGCCAGAGGGATGGTGACGAGCCCAGGGACCTGGCCCGGGAGCAGCAGCAGAGAGAGGAGGTGGGCGCGGCCTGGCTGAGGACATGGGGGTGGTGACATGTGTGAGGGTGGACAGTTATGCAAGTCCCCGGGGCCACCGACAGGGGCCACTTCTCAAGACTCAGAAGGAAGGGCATGCCTACCTGTCCTCCTCTGTCACACAAACAGGCAGGTTGCGATTTGCCAGCTGGACCCTGGGTCATGGAGCTGGTGACGTCTTTGTAGGGCGTTTCAGCCTCAGAGAAAAGTCAGGGGTTTTTACTCGTATTTAACAATAGTATGACAGTGCCTTGTATTGGTACAGCTGCTTTCAGCTTACAGAGAGCTTTACAAACAGGCGTTATTTTTGTAGTTAGAAAGATGTAAAGGTTAAAAAGCCCCTCAACCTCCTTATTTCATTTAACACTCTCAGCCCACCTGTGAAGAAAATGTTATTTCTGCCACTTTAAAGACCGGAAAGCTGAGCTGTGAAGAGGTTGGCCACATGCCAACGTTGGCCACTTGGTGCGTGGGACACGGGAGCTCTCTCGTTCTGCAGGCCCGTCTGAAAGTGAGGCTGGGGGTTTGGATAGCTTTTCCTGAGGCCACCAAACCTCACAGCGTTAAGGATACAAGGACGATTTCCTCCAAGCTCCCCCGTCCCCTCCCGAGGACAGGGCTCAGGCGGGGTGCCCGGTGGCACGCACGCGTCCGCTCCGTCGTGACCCAGGCGTCCGCCTGCAGCGGCGGCTCCTGCCGACGGTAACGGTCTCGTTTCCTTGCTCTTTGCCTCAGAAGGAAAACGAGAGCCTCAAGGAAGAGCTGCAAGAGTTGCAGAAAGAAAACAAGCTTTTGAAGGAAAAATATGCTCTGGAGAGCAGGAAGAAGGAGCACTATGAATGCGAAATAAAGCGCCTCAATCAGGTACAGCGGGAGGCGGGGGGCCGGGCCGGGCCTGGCGCGGGCAGGAGCCGCTGCTGACCAAGGGGGCGCGGGCTCCGGGCCCTGCCCTCTATGAACCTCTCCCCCGGCACGGCTCAGAGGGCTCGGCAGTTCATGTCCCTGCCAGGGATCGTCAGGAAACAGAAGTGAGGGATTCTAGAAGAGAGTAAGGCCGGGCGCTTAGTTGCGGGAAGAACCGCATAGAGCAGGCAGGTGTGTGCACAGCCGCGCGTTTCTCGGCGGACCGCAGGGGTTTCCTGAGGAAACCGGCTGCTCTTTAACACCATCGCCCAGGGCTCTGGGTGATGCTGACAAGGCGGGGGCTGTGCATTTGTGTGTGTGAGTGTGTGTGTTTTACGGGGTAAGAGCTTCATTTTCTGGAGGAAAGATCGAGATAAAAATTAAACCCTTCGCTGTTCACTTTTCCCAGGGCCGTGTCCTACGTGGCCCACGGGAACGCTTGCAATGCACGGGTGGGTCGAGGCAGGCATCTCTCGAACTAGATGTTTCTTGACAAACATAATAGAAATTGTCTTCCAAAACAAGGCCAGGAGGGTGACTAGCCTTGAAAATGCCTGTGTGTAGACCTCGTGCTACGCTGTGGTCAACTGGTGTCCAGCGTGGTCATTTAAAGGTCTGCAAAGTGTTGAGGATGTGGCTGCAGGGCCGACAGGGTGCTTCACAGATGCAATGCGTATCCGACCTGTTTGCAGGCCCAGGCTTCAGGGGGAAATGGGGAAGTGAAGACAGACCTCATAAACCATGCACTTCTCTACCCGAGAGAGAAAAATGGTCAGAGATGCAAATTCAGGGCAAATGTGTGTTTCTTCCCTTTTATCTTCTACTGGAATTTCTCCACAAGGGAATGGGAGGAACTCGCATTGAGATTATATTTTAAATCCTCCCACTTCTGATAAGTGTCCTTCTGTTCTCTAATTCATCTCTCGGTGTGGGCACAGGATGTGAAGCTGATAGAAATCAGAGCAGCCAGGAGCTCTGGTTTCCTCTCACGTCCATGGGCGCCCCATTTATTTTTGTGTGTCTTTATTTAAAGTCATCAGAAATTTTTAAAAAGTTAGATGAACACTAATTTTATAAGTCTCGTGATTACAATCACAAAATCTCAGTGAGAAAAATTGATTTGAGTAAAATTCAAGTCTTTATAGAAATGTCCCCTTCTCAAAGAGAATTTCTCTGGCTATCCCAACTGAAATGACATGCTCCACCCCTAGTATTTGTGCTTTAATTTTTCCTTGGAATTTATTGATACCTAATCTATGTTTAATGTCTCATGTTTACAATCTTACTTGTTTCCGGACTCTCAATCCTGACTGGAAGCTCAAGAGTGAGGGTAGATTTTTGCAGGGCCAACTCTGTTAGACAGAATGGGCACAGTGTCCAGGGCCCACAATACTCGTAGGGGCTCGTGAATATGTTAATTCCTCTTAAAATCAGAAGAAAAGAAAAGTGAACTTTCAGGTTGGAAACATGTTTTCATATTAATATTCATATACTCCTCTCCTAGGAATGCAGTTATAAAAGGTAATTTTAATATATACTTAGAGAGAGGAACAGACTCACAAAGTCTTTTCTGTTTTGTTCGCTGCTGAATCCTGGGTGCCTAGAACATGGCCCTGCCCAGGGTATGTTCTTAAACGTTCCTTGAACAAGTGATTGAATGGATGGATGGATGGATGAGCCTAATTAGCCAGCACAGAAGATGTTCAATAGCTCATTCTGGACCTGTGAAGGCATGAGATTCACACGTCAACAGGCGTCACACATCACTGAAGTAGAGAGGAAAATAAAAGAGTGCTTCCAGCCAGAAATGATCTCACCCCACATGTCTATCTGTGCCTTTAACTATCACTTAAGAAAACAGAGATATAAAATGGTGAGTTATAAAACAGATCTTTCCTCATTTGGCGCATGTATTACAGTCTAATGGAATATAAGGTATTATTCTAATTTACACAGTAGATTTTTTTCTTTTTTTACCACTGTAATAAATAGATGTTACTCAAAATGTTGCTCTGGGTGGCCGATTGGGCACCCGGCCCATCACAGCAGGGAATTCGGGGCCACCCCACTTGCATGAGCCAGCTGCCCGCTGACCCCTGACTCAGCAGAAGTGTGCAGGGTGGCAGAGTGGTAATTAACGTATTGTTTTCAGATCTCACACCACTGTGTGTACTCAGGTCCACTCATTTGCTTTGAAGGAAATACCCGAGGGCTCTGTTTTCGGTCCTGTTCTTGAAGAAAAGCCAGATGTTTAACCGAAGGGAAAGGAACTACCTGAGGCCAGACAGCCAGTGCCACCTGTGGGCAAACTCGGTTTGTGTGAAGTCTCAGGGCTGTGAGGCGGGCAGGCCTGCTCAGTGTCCCTGTGCTGACAGTCAGCAACTGTGCTGCGATTCTCGGACAGGCTGCCGGCCCTGCTCAAGGAAGCTGGAAAACCCCAAGAGGGGAGGAATGTCTGTTAGACTCACCTTTCATCTGTGACTCATTTGCAAAATTTCTAGAATTCTGAGTAACATGAAAGGTAAACCAGGAAATTCAAATATAACAAGACCCACAAAAACAGTCTATTCAGAGGGGCAGGACACGGGCCCAGCCTATCTGATTGTCTGGACTCATTGGGCTCCCCCCATCCTAGGTTCTCTACTACTTGCTTACACATTTTTTTAAAATTGTAACTATTATGACATTTCCTAGAACTATGTAGCTAAGCAACAAATTTTAGCAAAAACATAAATTAGTAAATAATTTTTGTTGTTTCTTTTAAATTCTTCTTGGAGTAAAAAAAGTTCTATTTCTCTTACAATTTCCTGAAAAATGACATTTACACCAGCCTGGATGGTATTTTCAGACTCTAAGACATCCCATGACGAAATTCCTAGCCTGGCCACACATATTCAAGACCATACATTTGTTTTTCAGTTCCTACCTTTATGATCGCATTGTACAGTAAGGCAGGGAAATAAGTTCCTAATAGTATCATTAAAACGGTGTCACTGAAGCTGCTAAAGAAATACAAAGGAAGTGAATTCTTGCGGCTCTGAATGCGAACCTCCCTGTTTGTATAGTGGACTCATAACCATAAGCAACTAGTCACACAGTGTGTGTGCCCTGAGACCACACCAGGATGAGGTATGTTAACGTAAGGACTCACTCAAACCTGTGAAGAATTCCTGTGAGTTTATTTGAGCCAAACTATCGGACAACTGCCTGGAAGCCAAAACCTCAAGGGACTGAGAGAACGCTCCGGAGAGGGGCAGTTCTGCACCTCGCTTTACAGGGTACAGCAAAGGGGGAGACCTCCATGGGTCACACGAAACCCATGGGTGATGGACTAGGGAGGCGGGAGGGAGCAAAGAGGGGAAACCTCTGGGATTGGATAGAAAGTAAAACGATGCACAGACTTCTTTTACACAGGTGGGCACAGGATAGTTAACAGTCAACAGTTAACAAGTTAACAATAACAAGGAGACGATTCCTGGTCTCTGCCCTGGTGCATGGAGGGCCCAGAAAAAGGGGAAATTACTTTATTTTGCAAAGGCATGTTAATCAGGTATGTTATCTCAGATGCAGAAGACAACCAACAGGCTTAGTTAAGGCGAAAATTAACCTTTGCGAAGGAAAAATACTGCCTTAGAGCGTGATTACCACCATAGGCTGCTTTTAGTTAAAAAGTTTTAATTTCAGACCATCCTTTGTGGTTATTTTAGGTGTCTGAGTTTGCAAGGCCACCACGCAGGCCTGCCCTGAGCTTGTCAGGTTTAGCATGTGGCCCCTTTTCGTCCACAGGTATGTCCTGTCACAACAGGGGTGATGTCATTGACATGATCTGACAAAGTACAGTGTATGTAAGAGCATCTGGGGCTAGTGAGTAAAGATGATAATCTTGTTGGCAAACCTAAATGCCTCTTACTTCTTTCACCCCCTCACCCAGGGTGAAGACACCAAGTTTCACTGAATATAAGAAAGCAGAGCATTACTCCGCCCTGCATGACATGAGTTCATGGTGTCTTCTCGACACTAATGTGCGGCTAGGCCAGGGCCCGCTGAGAGTGGTGGGTGGTGAATCTGTGCGGGCTCACACTTCTGTGCGTTTCCGTCTCTCCTACTGGGGACATAGTTATACAGCAGAACATTACTCGAAATGTCACCTGGGGCCAGCAGCATCAGCTTTGGAGGAAAGCAGGTTCTCAGGCCCTACCCCCAGACCTGCTGATTCAGGATCTCTGGAAGCAGTGCCCAGGGATGGGCGTGTCTGCCACCTCTCCAGGTGACTCTGACATCCCTAAATTGTGATCATTACTGATAGAGTAAATATTTGACTGAAGCAGAGAATCTAGAGAAAGAACATAGAGAAGGAATATAGATACGTTGTCCTTTCGTGGTTGGCTAGGTAGAGGGGGCTCCACCCGCAAAGCCCTTCTGAATGACAATGAGAATTGAAGAACATAAGCATCGTCATGAAGGAAATACAGGTTCTGGGGAAAACACACACATATGCTAGAAAATCAGAAAGAAGAAAGTCATTCGGTCATGAAAGTAGCATTAAACAGAAAATTCTGCCTTGTGGTGCCTTTGAGATGACTGTGGCCATTACAGAGGAATTCATACCATGTAACTCCCAGGTCAGCAAGGCGCTTGTCTTACCACGCAGGTTCTCCAGGACGCCTTGAAGGTCGGGTGCTCTTCAGTTCCCGAGGGCTGCCTGGGGGAAGCGGAGGAGAGCAGCCGCGAGGAGATGAAGGCGGAGATGGAAGTTCTCCGACAGCAGGTGAGAGGTTGGAGGGGCGAGCACGGGAGGGCATTGGGCCCGTGGGCCGTGCACCTTGGGCCGTGCACCTTGGGCATTCCTGGGAGTCTGCTCTTCACGATGTGTAGAAGGTTTTTGCATTTACTTTCACAAGAATCATCTAATTTTATAGCTTCTTGGGAGAATATAGATCCACTAGTCCAGCTCACACTTTTAAAAAGAGGGGACTGAGCCCTGGCTGGTGTTGCTCAGTGGTTGGAGCATCGGCACACACACTGAAGGGTCTCGGGTTTGATTCCCGGTCAAGGGCACATACCTGGGTTGTGGGTTCACTCCAGCTCCCAGTCGGGGGCATGCAGGAGGCAACCTATCAATGTCTTTCTCACATGAATGTTTCTCTGTCCCCGCCCCCCCCCGAAAAGCAATGGAAAAAATATCCTCAGGTGAAGATTTTTAAAAAAGTAAAAAGAGGGATCTGGGTGTTAGGTGGGCTCAGAGGCCTCCCCAAGATCACACTAACGACCCTCCTGGTGAGATTCCGTTAGTTTGAGGGAGACGTGCTTTATTTTGCAAACACTATTGACCCAATCTCTGGACCTTCTCAGAAAATGGTAGCAGCTGGGCTGTTATTTTGCAGCTTCTGGCTTCTGGGCCTTGGAACAGCGAGGGCAGTTTTTAAGGGATACCCCCCACTGATCATAATCACTGCAGAGCCCAGCCCGCTCCTCTGCCCCCACAGGCCCCCCTAGAGATTTACTGAGGCACGTGGACTCCTCCCCACTCACCCAATCTCACTCACTGCTGCCAAGCCTTAGAACTTAAATATGTATATCTGCATCTAAATCTATATAAAAGGTATAGTTTCTTCCCTCTTATCTATTACATTGTGTTGTATTATCGCTGACTTAAAATTGATGACCCCTACTTAAAACTTGTTGCACTGTTGGTGATGAAGGTACCACATTCATTAGTGTTAACAGACAAAATTCTAACTAGTAGGCTCCAATCTAAGTTGTAGTTTAGATCATGGTCCTGGAGGAATTCCTTTACTTCATTCCCGAAGCTTCGTTTATTATTTCCACAGCTCCACATACTAGTTGTCCAGCCATCAGTCAAGGCCGTGCCAATTAAAAACAACAATAATTAAATGTTTTTCTTTTGATTTGCTTACCTTTCTGTAATATTTGGAGCATTTCAGGAGAGGTAGTCCACTGAAATATTACCATGTTTCTGTTTTTAGAATTTTCCTCCAAAATTCCTGGGGCAACCAAAGGCTGTGAAAACCTTCAAACGGTCCTGCTTTGCTTTTCCACGCACATGAGCCTTTCTTTCCCATTTTGTGTCCAATTTATCATTTATGTTTGCAAACAGCATGTTGCCATTTAGTGGCTTCACTTAACACGTGTTGTCAGCAAACCGTTTAGGGCTCCCTCTGTCTTCACACCTCTGAACCGTGTGCTGGGGATGGGTGGCTTTCTCCGAAACAGCGACACCACTGGAAGAGCAGTAAAAACCCTCACAGTAATAAAAATGCACCAAAATAATGTATGAGGACACTCTCTTTCAAAATATCCAAGTTATTACTTTCCTCCTGAATTCATGAGTCATGCTCAAGAAGGAAAAAGCTGAGACCTGGCATTCTAAACAGAGCGAAAAATACAATTATAGCCCCATGTGGCGGGATCCACCCAGCCCACCATGGAGAAACGGTCAGGAAAGGGTAGGACCGCACGGGCCCAGGGGCACCTGCTCTGAAGTCATGCAAGTGCCCTGTGAGGAGGGGAAGCCAACAGTAACAGCAATTACTGTTTCCTAGGTGCAAATATACGAAGAAGACTTTAAAAGGGAGCGATCAGACCGAGAAAGGCTGAATCAAGAGAAAGAAGAACTGTGGCAAATTCATCAGCTGTCTCAATCCCAGCTGAACAAGCTGAAGTCTAAGGTACCAGTCAAGGCAAAACCACCTCAGCCAGCACGTGTGTATTGTATTGTATTTTGTGTGTATTGCACTTTTATTCCCCCACTTAAGAAAAAAAAATCAAGACTCTTTGGCTTTTGTTAGTTGCCACTGGATTTTTTTTTAATTTAATTTGTTTTTGAGAGGTTAGCACCGGGGATGGAACTATTCTCAGACACTCTTGTAAAGAATTGAAAACACCCGGAGATTTCTTTTAACTTAAGTATAGTAAGGAGTTACCCAAGCTACTGGACTCTAAAGTCTTTTATGAAGTTAGATTCTTTTGATCTTTTCTCATAGTATTTATTTTGGTAGAACGGGGGCTGCCCTACCTAGCACTTCAACTCACATCTGAAACTCTCAGCACAGTGAAGTTGTTTCTAAATTCTTGTCACTTTCTTTGAAGGCCTGTGTTAGAATATTCCCATCTTCCAAAAACATACATATCGCTAAATGTATGTATGTATCTAGTGAAACAGAATTTTCTTCAGTGGGTTCCCAGGTTAAATGTAACTGGAGCCTCTCGAGGAAGCCAGATAGCATCAGCCAGCTTATTGGAACAAATGCACTGAATGTCCCCACACTGAAAGTAAGTGTAATAGACTATATTAAAGTAGACTCCAGAAGTCACTGTGATGCGTAAATATTGATGGCAATGAGGAAAATGTAGCTAACACAATTTCTGCTTAAGGAAAGAAAACAAGCTATAAAATACTTGATTTTTAAAATCATGCAGTGCTTTTCAATCAATAGTAAACTGTTGTGGGACGTTTGTGGAATGTGACACTGTGGCGGCCTCCGAATGATAGCTAATTTCAGTTTCATTCAATAAGTAATAGAGGCTGTTTCGATATCCATACCTATATCTAAATATATCAGCCTAAAGCTGAGAATTATAATGGCCCCAAACAAATTGGAGTAACAATTTAAAACTACCCAACTCTCCAAACTTCATTTGGGGTTTTCAAGACAGAGCCAATGCATGTCTGGAAAATTCCAAACTCGCCTGTTCCCTTGGCGTTACTTCTGTCAGTGTTCAACCCCCAGTTTCTGAGCAGTTCTGAGAACTGGTCAAGAGTAGCTTTAGAAGAAACCACCTGGACTCTTCTTGCTAAACAAATGCCTTTGTTTGGTCCACAGATAAAAGCTTGTCAGATGGAGAAAGAAAGACTAGAAAAGCAATTGAAGCAGGTACGTGGACCCTTACCTAAGTTCCCCAAGCCTCTTGTCCGCGTTTCACTCGCACATTTATTCCCAAGGACAGCAAGTCCTCAAAGCCCCAGTGAAAGACATAGTCAAGCTCAGCTACAGGCGGCCCAGAACGACCATGCTTTTCACTGTCGGCTGAAACGGCCGTGGGGAGATAGCGCTCAGGGGCTCCCACCCCAACACTCATGGAAAACACTTTGCAGACCCACGGCGGGCAGGCAAGCCTCGGTGTGCGCACGGGGGGGTCTGTGCAGACCCGCAGGCCCCTGGGGAGTCCCTCTCCTTGGCTTTCCCTGCAGCTGCTCACGCAGTTCACAGTGGAAAACTCCACAAGGACGTTTGCCCCTTCTGAGAAACAGTGTCTTCCTGGGCACTGACACACTCTGTCCCCACCCCCGGGTTCTGTAGGAGCCCTGGTAGGCACGTGCTATCTCCTCTCTGACGTCAGTTATGCTGTAAGGGTGTCAGCTTGCAAGGTAAGAAAACACTAGTTCAACGGCGAGGGCCTTCTGTGAAGACAACTCAGCGGAGTTAACTCTTATATACCTTTCGAGTCTTCCTGATTTTTGTAAAATGAGAAAAACAACTATAGTTTCACCTTCGGTAAATTTGGCCGGTGAGCTCATCCGTATCTGTCCAGGGTCCACATTGACATGACTACTATTTTGAGATAGGATTGTGCCAGAGTTAGGCTAAGGCTTAAGGCTGAAACCAGCCCTGGCCAGCGTGGCTCAGGTGGGTGGAGCATCATCCTGTGCACCGGAGGGGCGACGGTTCGATCCCTGGTCAGGGCACACTCCCAGGCTGCGGGCTTGATCCCCGGCTGGGGCACATACGGGAGGCAGCCGAGGCAACCGATGGATGTTCCTCTCTCACAGAGATGTTTCTCTCTCTCTCTCCTTTCCTCTCTCTCTCTCCTTTCCTCTCTCTCTCTCTCTCCTTTCCTCTCTCTCTCTCTCCTTTCCTCCCTCTCTCTCTCCTTTCCTCCCTCTCTAAAATCAATTTAAAAAATAAACGACTGAAACCAAACCATGCAGTTGTATAAGGCAAATGCGAGTGCGATCCCCAGCGGCACCCCCTCCTAGTGACCGACAGCCTTGTCGCCTTGTCTCCTCAGGTGTGTCTGCCAGCCTGCTGCTGTGGCTTGGGCTTCCACCCGCGGGAAGCCTGCGTGCTTGCAGGCCCCAGGGCCGCGCAGGATCTGCAGAAGCCCCCGGTAAGTAAGAACCTCACTCCAACCAGCAAGTGCTTCCTTAATATCCTATTCTGGTAAAATCATGTCTGTCCGGAAGGTGGCTCAGAAAGAGCCTCCCTACACTGTGGCAGCCCCTAATCCGCAGTGACGAGGTCCACATACACTGTCCTTAAGTTTGTGGTGTTGTGTTCACCGGACGCAGAGATATGAATGTTAACTGCAAGGCATCAAAAGGAGCTATAATCCCCTGAACAAACTCACAACCTTTCATATGGGTCATTTTTAATGACGTACCTCACTCTACCAAGAAGACAAAAAGTCAGTCTGAGGGATGCCTTTTTCCGTTGTAAACTCATGTTGAACTGCATCTGGGCTAAACAGTTTTTGACATTTTCCAACTGAAAGGATATCCCTAAAGGATCCAAGAAACAGTGGCCCATTTAAGTTTCTCTCTGCGCTGTGTGCGCCCAGGCGGATGGATGGACAGCGGGGCAGTTATTCTGAGTGGAACTGACTCGGACAGTCCGCCTGAGCCAGTCAGCCCCAAGCCCCCTTCCCCTTCTCAGCAGCAGCACCCCGCCCGCCCT